AAAATTTGTAAAATAAGCGTAAATATTTATATTAGCAAAAGCCAATTACATTTTTAAAGAAACGGCACCTATATCTGTTAATATGAGTGAAAGAATAAATGAGAGAAAATATAATTTCCCAGGAAACATATTAATTACAACCTGACAGAGACCAGCAGAGATCGATCTTTTCATTTAAATGTTAATTAATTAAACTTTGAGAATGTAAAGCTTTATTTAATTTGAATTTGAATTTATATATACATTAACCAACTTTTAATGCTAACTTCAATTTTAAAAGCAATAAATGTGAAGGAGAATTAAGACTAATCTAATTTTAGGTAAGAAGAAATTGGAGCTTAAGCTTCGCGGCAGAGAATCTTTAGTCAACAGGAGAATAGATAATCTCTAGAGCACCATCACGGCAAAAGTATCTAGGTTAAGTGTGAGCAATCATCTAATAAAATTAAATGTTAGGAACCATGTTCCATTGACTCGAGAGGTGCTCGACTCGATAAAACATCATAGGAAATCCAAATAAACCAGTTGGCCATAAACAACAGTAGTTCACGATTAGACTATATAAACTAAAAACATTATACAATTATAAACGATCCAATTATACAAGCGATAAAAAGCAGCTGCGATTATTTATTCTTCTTTACGTGCATTCGCGCGTGTCTACATTTAGATCATGTGTATTCATAAAATCTTGAAAATATATCAGTCAGTCCCTCAAAATCTTAAAAGATTGAACAATCTTAACAAATGAAAACGTACGTTTTTTAGAAATTGTAAAAAACGTCGTTCTACAATATTTTTATTGCAAAATTAAATATTCTATCTATTTTTTATATTACGATTATTATAAGTTTTCAAAGACTTCATTGTCATTCAATATATTTGACTTGATTAAATTGCGCAGATAATAATTTTAATTTAGATCTGAAAGCTAGATATCACAATTACATATTTCTATTATCTTCAAGTTTTAAGAAACACCAATGTTTTAAGATTTTCGAAATTTCTGAAGCTTTCAAGATTTCAGTGTAATTAAATTTGTCTCCATTTTCAAAATGTTCAAGTTTTCTTTTAAACATTATTCGAAATAATTCGAGGTTCTCATTCTATATTAAAAATGGGTCGAGGAGTTTAGTCTATAATTACCGTTATCTAAAAAATTAGCTTATTGATCGTGAATGCACTTTTATAATTATAATGGATATACATTTTGATTAACTGCGGTTGGCCTCGACATTTATCTTCCTCATAATTGATCATTGGCGAGAAGTTTCCCTACGTTGAAACACAAAGATTGAAGATTGTACGCCAGGGTCAAAAGGAAAACAACCGAGCTGCTACCGGCGCACCGAGAAAATGGCCGGAAGGTGAAACCAAACCGAAATTGATGATTCCACAGCGAACGTCGATCTTCGTTATATCGCGCTCTTTGTCTATATCACTGTCATATCTCTGCTATTGAGAGCTTATGTAATCTAGGTGAAGAAATCAGATCTTTACCTTACATAACCATAGATACCAGATATATTATCGAGCGAATGCTGTTGTCACTCCATCGAGCGAATTTTCATCAGATTTTCATCACCTTTATCAGACGACTCAGCGTGGAATAAAAAAACGGAAAAATTGCAATAAAATATAGTCAGCGTTCGAGAGAATTTATGGCATGCGCGTGAAATTTTATACGATACAGAGAAAATTGGCGTACGCGGCGCTCCCTTTTGTATATTTTGGCATGTTTTTGCCATCTTTTTCTGTCACCAGGAGGCAAACCACACTATAGAAGATATATTTTCCTGCCTCTTTTACTTTCTGAACACGTAGCTGCGCGGAAAAATTTTTTTATTTCGTCAAAACAGATTACCTCGGCAAATCGTTCTATTCATATTTTTTTATTCTTTAATGCCAGCTGACAAGAGCGAGCGGATTGATGCAAAACTTGACGAAAATTTCCATAACAAAATATCTGTGTGTATCTGTATCTGAGAACGTAATAAAGTAAAACATTAAACATCACAAATTATCTGTGATAGTGTTAAAAGTATCATTTCAGAATTAAATGAGAATCTTTTCGTGCTGTCGCTATCGACAAATTGAAAAGCAAATGAGGGATTTGCGCAAAGAATTTCAATGATGATTTATAAATCAACAAAGATAATGACTGTCATACGATAACGAATAATGGCAAAATTCAACGTTAAATCTTAGCACATCTCTATGATAGCGTTACATTTATTAAATGATTTCGTCTAGCTTTCTTCTTGCTACTAAAGTTGGAAAGCATTGGAAAATATCCAATTTGCGTCGAGTGTCCATTGCGCTCATTGTCACCTTCTCGGAGCTTATATTTAAGCCTGATTGCACCGACCGGTTGGTTAGCGGCAACTCTTGTTAACTCGATTTGTTCGTATCGCAGATGCAGACTGCGAGAGATCTAAAAAGAGATAGTGGGCATCGCTAATCCAAAGTTAATTAACTCGGATGCGACTCTGCCTTAAAGATTAAATTGTTGCGGCAAACGGGAGCAACAGGAGTTTCTCCGGATTTCACAATAGGCCTCCTCTCGTCCCTCCACTTCATTTCTCGCCCTTAATGAGAACAATCACACGGAAAACCACAACGTGTTAATGTACATCGCACGATTGACAAATGGTTAACAGTCAAATTGTAAAGCCCGACAAATTTATCTTCCCACGGGAATATATATCTCTCTCTCTCTTTGCGAGATACCTCTGACACGACGCACGAGTTCTCTCTTTCTCTCGCAAATTAATTGCTTTGGGTAAGTCATTAATTACTACGGGAAACTTTGTAGGTTAGCTAGAAGTGTTTAGCATAACCACATCGACAATTCACGGAATACAGTGTACATGTAGCGAATCGAATCATTAATTTTGTCATCTTTATAAACCATAAAAAATTTTAAAAAAATAATAATAATTAGAATAATATCAATTACGATTTTAATTAAAGTTTGGCGGTAAGTCAGATTTTTATTTTTAAATATATTTATTTAAAAGATCCTTATTTAATTTTAAAATAGCAATATTATTTGGCAATATACTTTTTAATTTTTTTTTAGTTTTTTTATGTTTTCAGACACACACATATTTTATCATTAAAATACATAAATACGTAAATTTTTGCAAAGTTTAAAACAATAAATATTTTTTTCTGAAATTCTGTATGCTTTAATCGTAAAAATACGAATACCGGAATTCTTTATCCTTTTATTAGAATTCTATTTTCATCAAAGAATAAGATAAAATCAGCCGTTCTTTTTGTCTTATAATCTAATATTAAAATTCTCTCTCCCGTATTGGAAAAATATAGATGAAATTTTCTTTTCTCTTGTGTCTCTATCGTGCGAATGTACAGATTACATTATCAAAGATTGCCGTGAAAGCAAATTTACAATCTGCCCGCCGATATTCGTTGAATTCCATTGAAGTCGATAGTTGAGACTGAGAAGCTCGATAAGGATCAAAGACGGCAGATCATATAAACAGTAAATGGGAAAATGTTGAGAGCAGAGGAGAAGATAAACAAATAGCGGCGCGGTACGTCAAGTACCGCTCATACATTCGAAACTGCTCCTCGAGTGTTCACGTAATTTTAGAATCTGGCGCAATTCGATTTTATTTTCATTCAGAGCGAAATAACGTGGCGCTTCGCTTGAATTTACAAAGCGCTGGAAACAACGGTAGAGAGAAGAATATTTATGCGAAAAGAGTCAAACGAAAGGCAATCTTAAAACTGAAAGCGTGAAATGCGCAAAGCAGCATGAATAAACCAAATTAAAAAGTTTTCCGTCTAATGGCTAATCAATAAATTATATATTCGTGTATTGATCCTCTCTGCAATCTATCAATAATCAGAGCTAGCGATGAGATGCAAACATATTTGACGCTATAAATTAATCTTGCTCATTTAAAATTATTTTTTGTCATTTCTATTTTATCATACAGCATTTTACTTCATTATTCTTTTGCTTTTTCATATTTTATTTTATTAATTTTACCGCTCTTTTAAAGCGCTCTTTAAAGCGATATAACATGGATTATACCACACCACGCAGGAAATTATAGTAAAAGAACAAAAGCCAGTTTTGCACGTATATTAATGGTACGCTGTACCAATTAGCTTACAGTTGTTATTTTATCACGAAGATAAACTAAGCAAACAATAAAGTCGGGCATATATCATCATGTTTTCCCCGTGTTAACACGATACGGCACTTATATAATATATATAATACAAGAGATCACGAGACCGAATAATTTGTTATTGCTGTTGCAAAAGACCGCAGTCCCGTGCCGCTACTATTTGATTAATTTTATCGAAACAGCTGGGATAAAGACTGGATCCCATTGCGTTTTTATCAATACTTGCTTTTATTGTTGCTACGATATATGAAACTACCATTATCAGATGTGAACTATCACGTCAAATAAAATGGAATGATACAAAATTTTACACAGTATATAAATTATATATTATTTAAATAGTCATATTGCACTTAAAAAAAAAAATTATTATATTAAATAATATCAAAATTCATATAAAGTTCATACGGTTTTGCAGATAGTAAACTTCATGGAAAACCGCATAAACCTTAACCTATAACCTTAACCCTAACCTAACCTTGTTAATTACTTGATATTAACTCAAGAATCAAGATATTTTCAAAATTATTATAGTCATATTTTTAATTTTTATTATAGTCATATTTTTATTATAGTCATATTTTTAATTTCCATATGGAAGCTAAATTGCAGAGATTTTTTATAAAATAAAAAATGCTTCACTCGCATTGTAACATATATTGTGCAAACAAATTGAATATACTGAAAAAAGTAGTAGCAAATATAATTATTAACGCGATCAAGGCTTCTATGCAATAGGTCAATCAGCAAGAAACTGTCATTACGAGCAACTGTTATTACGCGACGGAAGACGCACTTGTCATGCCGACGTAAGAAGCAACACGTGTTACTCACCTTGACGGGTATGCAGAATATGATCAGCAGGAGATCAGCCGTGGCCAAGCCACCCAGGAAGACGTTCGTGGGCGTCGCCGGCAGCGGCCTGAGCCGCGGACAAAGAGTGGAGGCGATGATAACGACGTTCCCTGCAAGAAATATTACAATCCCCTTTAGCGTAAGAGCTATAATATCTTTCTTGGCGTCACGGGAAAGAGATTTTTCGATACAATATATAATATAACAGAGACCTTTGCAAAAAAAGGAGCTAATCTATAGCTTCTGATAAATTCCGCCTCTTCTATTGAACCGGCTTAATATCGGTTTCGTTAAATAACTTACTTTTTAATATCGCGTTCGGGCGTTATTTCGTACATAATTGAAAGCTCATCCGCAATGGGCGAAAGTTTCCGTGAAAAATTTATTACCACCAAGCACGACTGATTTTTTAAATAGATATTATGCAACGAAGATGAATTTGACATTGAGTTAAGCAAGCTACGGACACCACGGCTTCTTTAATGCTTACATTATTTGAAAAAGTGCCTCTCATTAAGGTCGCACTTTAAGTGCAGAACAATTCGTAATTTATTCAACTCGGAATTGCATTTGTAGAATTACAGAAAATTAAAGCATGCTTGACCGCATTCCGCGAATTGCGCACACTCGTTTGAAAATCTCGCCTGTCATCAGATAATTATTAATCGTTATCTTAATGAATCGAGACTTGCCGGATCGAGACTCGAGCTGCATTCGAGTCGCGGATTATAATGAAGGGCAATTCGTGCTCCTTGCAGTAGTTAGGAAGTGGTTTGTGCTATACCTAACTTGCGCCACAATCACGGCGCCGCGTAATTAAGAGCAAATTAGGCTCTAGGGCAGCTTACAAAGCGGTGCCGGTTCCACGCGAGAAGCGAGATTTGTCGTTTCACAAATACTCCACTCGCTGCACTGCGTCTAATCCGCCTCTTTAATGCAGAATATTAGATCGCGGCTTAATGAGATATCATCTTATTAGCGATTTTAGCGGAACCCGTAATATCCTAATGCGCAACTTTTCCGAGATATGCGAAAAATAAAACGGATAATAAACCTGCTTGAAAGAAACTTGTGTTATGCATAATTTTCTCGGTAATTACCGTGCGGTTTAATATCAAATGTAACACGTTACACATAACGAACGCAGCATATTTTACAACAAAATTATAAATCACGAGCGAGAAAGCAAAAGCTCCTATCTTTTTATGATTTTTACTTCAGCAATCTTTTTTTAAAAGGTTTACCGTGTAATTAGAAAACTCTACAAAATGGAAATGTTTCATTAACGTATGATTCTTTCATGCACACGATTCGCAATACAAGCAAAAGATAAAAAAGCTCTAGACCCTCTTCTGGAAATAATTTGATAAGAATGTAATAATGATAACTGGACGCAACATTAAACCGCACAGCGTCTAAATCGTTCAAAGGAATTTTCAAGAGTTAATTAAACCAGATTATATAACCGCAATAATTATAATAATCGTTCTATGATAAAGATAATGATAATTGATTCGCGGCGACTGAAATTTTTATATAACGTATATGCTTCGTAATGTGCTTCAAAATTATTCTTACTAAATTTATGAAATTGATATTTAATTTAATTCTAAAAAGAGTGAATAAAATTTGTGCGCAATGTGCATCATTAAAATGCACTCAATTAGAAACTTGCGATAATTTCGAATTCAATGCTTTATCACAAATTTCATTGCAAAATTTCAATACTATTAGGATTATTAAATGCAATAATAATTTTATATGCAACATTTTTATGTATTATTAGTATTAGGATTTAAAAATTAGATAATTAGTTTTCTAATTGTAAGATTATAAATTTTTGAGATAAAGTTAGTGATGTAAAATGAATAAATTAGGTCCAGAATGAACTTATTATAATAAAATAAATATAAATACAATATATTAAAGCCGCAACTTCCTTGAATCTGTTGGAAAAACAATCTATACTTTGAAAGTTTAATTTACATTTTGAATAAGTAAGCAGCTTATATTATATTAAAGTTATGAAGTTTCTCTCTAATGGATTGTGTTTATACTCCGTAATATATTATGTATCGAATAAACGGTGGGTACGTGTTATATTAATAATTTGCAATATTTAGCAAGCGCTGCTTAAACTTACACAGTTCACAGATAAATTACGCTAATTACTTCATACGAATCAGCAAATAAGATCAATTTTATTGCAATAACAAATCAATATATAAACAAATTAATACATTAATCACTGAAAATAATCAATTGGTAAGAAATTTATGATAACAAAAACAATCAAATATAATATACATCATTGTACACAAAAAACTTTTCTACGTATTTATTTCAAGAAAAGAGCATCAAAACTTTCCGAATAAATACTGCAATAGCTTATGCTAAAAATGTTATATTTTTCAATTTACTGGAAATATTTTCATTTATAATATCGCAAATAACAGTTATGTCAACTGATATCTTTTTATTTATTAATAACTGCGTATCGAAAATATATATATTGACTTACTCTTGCACATGTAAATAAAAATGTTGAACTTACCGACTAACCCAAGGATGAAAGTCAAGGTGTAGACCACCAGTACAGGCGCTAGTTCCGCCCAGTTGAAATTACTCAAGGACTCGTCAAGGTCGTAATCAAAATCGAGCAAATCCGTCGTGTTGGTGCCATTCAACTTGATATCGTCAAATGCTTTGCTGAATGCGGTCAAATTAATGAGCATCATTGTTGAAAATTGAGATGGTTACTCACTCGTGATCACTCGTTACGGCACGTTTTTTACTCGGATTGTCAGATTTTGAAAGACGAAAGCCAAAAGGATCTATTTTTAATGCTTAGATTTATGTTTGTCATTATTGTTTTTCTAATTTTAACACGCGGTTATTATTTTTGATCTCGAAAATAAGATATGTCCTTTTAACATGAAGAACGGGATATTTGTGCACTGTAAGATTGTTCAACCGAAAATGGAACGTATGACAATCCTTACGCACGACGGAGTTTTCACTAAACTTCCTATTGCCGTTCAGGTATCTACACGAATTGTTCCGCTTGAGTTTCTTCGTTTTCATCCTAACGCAATACGTTGTCGTTGCACTGGAAAAACCAAAGAGAAATTGTTAGTTCAGAGAATGCAATATTTTACTTTTGTTCAATAAAAACATGCCTGCATTAATGTGCTTTTACTGTCATCAATAAATATTATCTTTTACTAATACAAAATAATCCATGTTATTATTTCGTATACTTTTTACATTTCTAAAAAGATTAATGTAAAAAATAACCATATGTCGCAAAGCTCTTTAAATCATACAATCCCTGTAAAATTTTCTCCCTAAAATTGCATCAAAAATTCCATATGATATGATAATCTCAAAATCATTTTATACAATCCAATTATAATATTTTATTTTAGCCTTAAGAAGAATAACATGCAAATATAAAAAATAAGAAGACGTTTGTTCGCTTTTCTTTTTATAAGCCCTCGGCGATGCAGAAACAATTGTCTTGAAAAAATTGATTTTATAATGAAGAAATAATTCGCTCAAGATAAAATAGAGAAAACCTTTTTAATGCGATAAAAGAATATATATTCGAATATAAGAAAAACGTAGAAGAAATGTATGAAAATTTATTTTACAAAATGAATTGAATATGCAGCAACCTACCTCGCAAGAGAGAGAAGAAAAAATTCAATTTCTTTTTCTAAATGTCTTTTACTGGCACCACAGAAATGAATTGACGCAACCGCTCAATTGTCAGATACAAAACGCGGATCTTATTTGCGGGAGCTAAAATAACCTCGTGGTAGCTCAGGTCGATTCAGAACAACGCAATTAATAAAGATCAGCGACAATCGCTTTTCCGGGAGAAGAAATTACACGTTTCGCCCACTAGTGCGAGATATCCGTGATAAACCGACCCTTTAATGAAACTTCAGCTTTAGTCTGACGTACCTGAGGCGCTTAAGGCTGAGGCTAAGATCCAGACTGCTTTGCCTTAAACGGCAAATGTCACGTTTCACACACAAGCGAGTTAATGATTATCCCGCGCCGATCGATAATCGTATGGTATTCGATTCTGAGTAACGTTTCAAGATACAGTCGCCAAATGCATCGCTCTGTCAAGGCGAATCGTGTTTACGCCCGCGATTTCTCAGAGCCCATCAGATGGAAATGCGTATTTGCAGCGTAGTTTGCAAACTTTGTGGAAGAGATCTTAATCCAAGAACAAACGCGATTAAAGCGAAACGTATACGTATCATTCGTAAATTTGAGATTGGGAGCACAAACAGAACTAAGTGCCAAAAAAGTAAAAAGTTAATAGCCGGAAAAATTCAGGTCACATATGGAACAAATATCATTTATCTTACAACCATTGTTATTTATTGTTAGTTCCGTTTTCGTTTCCTACCTCGAAGTTAGACGCGCAAAAAAATTTCAATTTTTTGCTCATTGAATAAATCAATATTTTTTATCTTAGCTTTACATTTGCCTCCTGAAGTATCGATATGCCGTATTACAAAGAACGTTTGAGAATAAGAATCGCGAGTGAAATGCGAGTGAAATAGACTCCTTGTATCAAGTTGAAACTTCAAAATGCACTTTTCGTCTGCGCTCGAAAACGCAGGGGCGTTGCCTGCGGAATAAGACTGATCATAGAAATACTTTCAAGTGACGCTCCACTGGGTATTGCATTTTGTCTAGTAGCGCGATCGCATCGCGTCAAGCTTTTCGAGTAAAATAGTTCGCATGCTTTAAACAAAGTTTTATAGGTACTAAAACATTCGCCTAGTTTCCCTGACATGAATGTTTCCTATTTATTTGCGTTCGATATGGTATATTAAACACACTTCGCTTACAGCGAACAGTTTATTCGAACGTGCTCAAATTAAAAATCATACTGCGATAGTTGCATGATGAGCTTAATAACACTGAACGAACACTTTCCGCTTTTGAGAAACTGTTTCTATGAATAAAGAAATAAATAAGCATTATTATTGTGGTCGCGGCAATAATTTTAACACAGCTAAATATAACCATTATCACAAAAGTAATATTAAACAACATTTGTATTACTTATATTATTAACTTACGCGTAGTATTTCACGCTTGGCATATAATGCGAAACAGTCTCGATGCATTTGAGAGACTGCGTGTGTCTTAATAAATAAATATATTATTGTCACATCCAAACCACACAGTAATCGCTAAATATATTGAAAGTCATTAGTAAAATAATAACATTAAACAACATTCCTGCTACTTAAGTTATTAACTGTTTCATACATGCGTAACATGTTCAATCATGTAATACATGTTTAATCAACCAAAATGATTACATTACTATGTTAATAAAATAACAAGTACATTTATATTTAGTAAAATAAATATACGCTGTTTATATATATATATTTAATGGCAATATACGTTCTGTGCGTCTCTGACAGTGCAAAAATAAATATTTTTCAAAGAACTAAAAACATATAGTTACCTCAAAAAAATATTGTATATAAAAATCAAATATCTTTATCAAAGTATTCTGTTTTTTTTAAATTAGAAAAATTGATTTCACGTTCAAGTGTCAGTTATAACAAAACGCGAGTTTTACAAAAACTGAAACCCGATTATATTTCCAATTAGATTTAGAGTACAATTTTTTCCATGTTTTATTCTTGATATCGCAATGTTTTTGTATATTCGCATATAATTATTTAAAACAGAAGAAAAATTATCACGCAATTTATTTTATCGAGTTTTATAAGTTTTAATTTTTATAATCTTCGCTACGAAAAATAATAGAGTTAAACAATATATTTCATATTTATCAAGTGTTGAAAATCGATAATCAATATCTATAAGAGTATGGTTAAAAAAGCAAAAATGTATTTTCAAATTACTGCGGCGTTACTGCAGTTATTGCTACTTTAAGATTGCGCCTTTCGACACGTTTTTCGAAGACAGCTGGCATATCCGACGAGAGCCAGGGATTCCATTTCCGACGAAGAAAATCGAATTATCAAATGCACCAGCAGCGGCACTGCAGCCCGATTCACAAATGTATTGCGGTAGCGTTCGTGATGCATTTCCCTAGTGAGCGACATTACACGAAAGAAAAAGGAAAAAAAGTCACTTCGGTATAATGACATACGACGAGTCACCTTTCCACGTGCAGTCTCGATGCATGTTTAATGAAGTTCGCTAATGATACAAAAAGACTCGTATGAAGCCAAATGCCGTGCTCTTTGCGCAATCTTTACAACTCGCAATTGCAATTTCCACTCTTAAATATACGGATTGCTTCAAAAATTATGTAAAAAGAATCAAAAGACAATCTTCTTCTATTCTGACTTCGTTTTCTTTCTAATTTTGATGATAAATGAGAAATTTATTTACAACCTGCTGTAAATCTGTATCTTTTACAAAAACGGAGATTACGTTTTTTGTACATTTATGGAAAGCTTTATAATATGTTAAGAAATGAGACGTCTAAATTTTATTATGAAAAATATTAGATATAATTATAAAGTAAACGTCGACTTTGAATTTGCGACGGAATTTGTGGTCGACAAAGTGTATAACTCAAGCATGGAACGCTCACTTCACGAACTAGTACATTAACGGCACCAACTACTTTCATTTCGCCAAATTCAATTTTAAGGTTCTCCCTGGTCAGTGTTCGAATTACGTCCTTCTCGCTTTGCGTCGCGCAATTTTATTCCTCGTGGCTGTGAAAACGTGACGAAATAATGCGAATAAAATTTCACAGGAAACTAGATACCTGTACGAAGAGTATACGAAGTATTCTGTAGAAACTACCTACGCACACCAGTTTGCAGTCTCTAATCAATTAAATATACAGTCTTTAACAAAGCGTATCTTCGCGCAACAAAATTTTCTGTCCATAAATAAATGAAACATTTTCTAATTTAAGTAAAATAACGTATTTTCTTCCCTAACAATAAGAAAAATATGATACTGTAAACACCAAAGTATTAAGAATGACATCCGTTAATCAAGGAGCACATTTGTGAACTCTGAAGGAAATGTGTATTTCCACAATTTAATCGACGACTGTCTGCGACCATTTGGTTATCACAATCGCGTAAATAGAACGCAATGTGATTTTTGTTTTATACCAAAATTTTGTATGAAATAGAATTCTCTGCATAAACAATTGTATATTGTTTTATTAAATATTTCAAGCTCTTTTCAATCTTCAGAAAAATTCTAAAAAATTGTATTGAATAATATGACATGAAAAAAGAAAAATGAATAAAGTAAAAACGCTTCAAGAAAAATGCATTTCGGACTTTTATGTTAACAATTCACGAAATTCTAATTACTACTAACATTTTGTAAAATAAATTAAGATTAATTTTTACTTATATAATTTTTTTCACTCATTATATTGTCTCAATTATCATCAATGTATATATTACTCTAATCACATTTTTCAAATAAAATTAAATTGATAAAACTAAGTAATAAAAATTAATATTTACATTTAAACGTGACTGATTAATAATTGTTAATTATCGAACGCGCGTCACAAAAGCGCAGAATATTTTATGCGTATCGCAATTATCTAAAATTGAGTATGACACGTAAGATAAAATTGTAGATGGTTCGCAAACTGTCATACGCAGATACCCTATGAGCGAAAAACATTTTTGAATTTATAGATTATCGATATTTCGACATCAACAAATATTACGCGTCATTTCCAATATTTAACTGTATTGTTAGAAATTAATTCTGTTTACGACTTTCTCGTAGCACAGTGCAAAAACGCATTTCATTGAACATAAATGCAGAATCGCGATCAAAATACATTTATGTCCATTTCAAAATATTTCCCATACAAAATCAACAATAAAAGTGCTTGATTCATTAATTTATTTTAATGGAATATTATTTATACTTAGATACACAACAGTTTTCTAAAACAGCACTTTGTGAAACTACATATCTAATACGATAACAGAGTATAAGAGAAAAACAACAACGATTTATCATCACTATAATATCATCAGTATAATATATTTACGCCAGTATCGCGCGCATAAAAAGTTAATTTTATTGACGTATCAACATGTATGAGAAAACTTCAGCGAAATCGAAAATGCGATATTACGAAGGAAAGACTTACGAATTTAAGACTGTTTTACGCGATAAATTGCTTCAGTGAATTGTCTTCGCTAAATTACCGACGAACTTCAATGTGTTTGCTTATTTGATGAAGTTTTCGAGTCTTAATGTAGCGTCAAATAATTCACTCTCGACCTTTTAACCTCGTATTTTAACAGTTATTTCCTGAAATTTATAAATACGTACTTTATCTACTTTGTTTATTTCTCTTTCAAGACGTTGCCCACATAAAAGGAAAGACTCCGATAATTGATAATTACAAGAAATTGAGCCGTTATTAAACATAGAATAGCAGTGAGTCCGAGAAAATAGCATGATCGTCGTGGAGAAACGAGGAAACCAATAATGGAGAAGAATTGAAAAAGCGTCGCACACAATTAGCCGAACTTTCTAATACAATCAGAGAAGAGTTAGCGAAAATCCTACTACAATTTCCTTAGCGAAGCTCTACGTGTCCGCTCCCGTCAGCAGAATTAATCTGACGATAATGAATCTGATACGTGAGAATCATTCGAAATAATCTAATGCATTATTAGCGGAACGTGTCTAAAAGAACGCACGGAATCCTTACAAGAAACCTACTTCAGATAAAATTACGATTGAAATATTTTCTCTTATAAAATATTTATAAAACTCTAATTTATACTAGGTGTCCTATACCAACCATATCATTAATTATAGATTTCGGAGATCATTTGAGAAATTTTACATCAAAATTTATATGTTAATTGTCGCATATTGATTTTTGCCATATGAGAAACTTCAGAAATCTGCTGTTAACAGGTGATACGATTAGTCTGTAAGATACCTTGTATATTTTTCATTATTTTTAAATATATTCTCTCAATAATATTAAAATAAAACAAACTAAATTGACTTACCGGCACGATGCGCAGCAAGAGAGTTGTTCACAAGTTGATCTGTAACATACAAAATATATCCAAATTATAGCAGCATTTAAAATAATTATTACGCACATTAAATTTTTACTCATCTTGCAAATATCTAACAAAGAAATTATATGTTTATATCTAATAATCATAAATATTAAAAATTGCAAATCTTTTACAGAAAGATTTTATTTCAAAGTTTCCATGTGCGTTACATTACATAATAATATTTTACGTGCAATGATTTGCAAATAATGGATAACAAATAAATAATTATTTATTCTAAAGTTGCTCCGTCGGCGCCCGATGCTCCTCCTGAGCTTCCTCCTCTTCTCAGTCCTCGCAGTCCTTCAAGACACTCACTCGCGTTCACGGCGCGAATACGAAAATCGTCTGATGTTTTAAATGGCACTACCGACGCGTACTTTATCATTCGGACAAAATAAGACTCGAATATCACCGCACGGGATACACGTTCGACACGTTCCGTAATAGGTAAACGGAAAAGAATGAGATCGAAAACGGGAAGTAATAAGGACAATATTATTGGAGAAAATAACATGCCGCAATCTACTCCGTACACGTGCCGCCGTGCGAATGATAAAGGGGTATCAATAAACGTATCAAGGACAAAGTCGCCGATTCCAATTTGGAAGAATGCGGAAAAAACCAAAAATATACATGTAAATATGTAAGACGTGTGTGAGAGAGAAAGAAAAAGAGGGAATATGAAGCGCGACGACGTAAACATTCCCGCCACACATCGCGAATCACAAAATTCTTAACATTCTTAAAGAATTTATCGAACATTTACAAAACCGAGTTTAAATTTGATTTTATTTCGATTTCGATAAATATTCGATAAATACTGTAGTATTAAGGGTTTCGAGGCCGATTCGCGGCATTTGATGGGTTGTTTTCGTCGTCTTTAATGCGCGATCTATATCTCCCTCTCTCTCATTCTTTCTTACTTTTGTACTTCTTTTGACTAGACTTTTATCGAGACGCACATTTTTACATCCCCAAATTGGAATCGTCAAAACTTTATCCTTCATATGTTTCTTGTATCTTCATCGTTCGACGGTTCGCACCTCGTACAAGACCGATCGTATCGTCGTGTTATCTTTTCCAATAGTACTTTTTTATTATTTCCTGTAGTTTTTAATCTCTCACCCTTTCCGTCGTTACTTGTTACAAACGCGGCTGTGTAATCCGTACGATGATATTCGAGTTTTACTTTGTCCGAATGACAAAAAGTACGCGTCGGGAGTGTCGTTTAAAACATCGTGCGATTTTTGTATTCGCAAACGTGTACAAGTGTCTTGAAGGACTGTAAAAACGATTGAGAAAAAAAGGAAGCTTAGGAAGAGCATCAGTCGCCGGCGAAGCAACTTAAATAATCATTTATTTGTTATCTGTAGTTTGTAAAATATTGTATGTGAAATATTACACATAGGAACTTTGAAATATTCAGTAAAAGAATGCAATTTTTAATATTTATGGTTATTATATATAAAAATATTATTCTTCTATCAGATATTTGCATAAAAGATGAGTGAAAGTTTAATGTGCATAAATTATTTCTCAAATAATTATTGTATTTTAAACGCTGCTATAATTTAGATGTACTTTGTATGTTACAGTATCAACTTATGAGCAACTTTGCTGCTGCGCATTGCGCCGGTAAGTCAATTTTAATTTGTTTTATTTTAATATCATTGAAAGAATATATTTAAACATAATGAAAAATACAAGATATCCTACAGACTAACCGTATCACCTGTTAATAACAGATTTTTTCTTGAATAGAAAGGAATAAAAAAATCAATATGGGACGTGCCTGTGTGCATAAATTTTTGACAATTTGATTATGATCAACTTTAAACATTTATTATTTGATTATGATCAACTTTAAACATTTATTATTTTAAAACTATTGTAGCTTCGATATTTTTATATGAAGATTTTTGTCTATAATCTCAGAAATTTATTATTAATGATTGGTCTAAGATATCCTTCATAATATAGATATATTTTTATAATTTATATAATTTAATTACATTTTTATTGTTTACCATTTACCGCATTTAGACTCTAACTAATTCTTTCATTAATTGCAATTTTATATAATAATTTTTCATAATTTCCTTTCCGACATTTCTTCGTGAACGAATTAATTTGGTCGCACGTGTGCACAGATTAATATTTCGCTCACGATAAAGGTCTCGGTTGATTAATGCGCGAATCCTCGCTACCGCATGAGCACGCCTCGCCGACGGCGATTTTAATTTAAAGCTGTCAGCTGACCGCGTGCACTCGATCGGCAGACAATTAGCCGTTCTGGCGATTCAAACGTAATGCGAAAAGTTCAGTTCTCGTCGTCACTGCTACCTCATTCTGTTTCGTCTCCCAATTTCGCCGGCCATAACTGACCGTTATTTCGGCCACGCTGATTTTTGTCATTGAGAGTATCCGCCCCGAGCCAGCTGGCAATGAGCCCGCGCCCCGTTTTACCCTCTTCCGCCAGTAGCGTAATCCGAGCGAACACGCGGAAGCGAAGAAGCAAATACGCAACGGCACAACTACGGCTATTTATTTCTAAATTTAATGGATATATTGGCAAGAAATTCTATAGCTTTTCCGTATTTGTGAATATAGTTAAGATAAAGACCATTAAGATAAAGACTTTGTTCAAAACAACATGCAAATGTTTCAAATAAGAGGGAAAACTTTGTAATTAGCTTGAATTTCGAAACTCAATAACACCGCAGCTCACCTTTTATATCTTTTATATCTTCATTTCAACTTGTAAGTATTAAAAGACCAAGCTTTACGAAGTTTTAAACGCATAAATTTCTCCCGAATTGCGGTTAATAGAAATGGGGACTGAAAAAAGAATATAAATTCCAGACCGCATCAATTTAGTTCTACGTCTTCAAATACATGTAAAAGTAAATTTGTTACGCAAATGACAACTTCAATACTAATACACGTATATAATTAAGTTTTTGTTTATACCATCAAAAGTTGTAACATCGACACAAACTGCAACATAATTTAACTGAAAGAGAGAAATCTTTTCATCCAAACATTTGTCCTAAATTTGTAAATTTTCAATTAATTCCATTAATTAACTGTGACGACATGCAGCAATTGTCTGTTTATTAATCTTTCCGGAGCTAATCATAAATATACAATCGAAAATATTTATATGCGAGTTAACTTATGTCCTTTTCACATGGTACCGATTTAATGGTACTTCAGTTTCATTTTTTACTCTCGTTCGATCTGTGATTTATTCCGCACGAGATTGTTCTCCGGTAGTGGTGAGAGATAAGCCTCGCTCATTCCCACCTGATCGCTGTCCGCGGGGCACGAGATGCCCGTCGTAACGCCGGTAGTGTCTGATTTATGTCCCTAAACAAGTAGCACGTGTCCGACATAAATTTGTATTTATAGAGGACGAGCGTGAACGGCGCCACAACCTCGGCGTAATACTCGCGTGCGTACACGACGCTCTACAAAAGTAATCGATTTGCATTTGACAAAAAAAGGGAGACGCTCGTGACTAGTTATTTCGAAAAATATGAATTTTATGATTTTGAGGAAAGCAAGGGTAACGTGAATCAATGCTGAGAATAGCACTTTGCATGCAAACGCACCAAAAGCGGTAACGTCACTTTGATTCATGTGAATGGAGCATCTAGTTTGTTACGATTACAATGCCCGAGTACCTCGTTTATTCGAATGGTTTATGTTCGCCTGTTCACCGTCAGTTGCTTAGGAAATGTTCCCTTCAAACTATTTTATAAATATACTAGTTTCATAAATTATTCGATAATATCTTCGTATTGATTCGGTTATTTAATTTATACTAATTTATACTCCATTGAACATCTATTTTATTCATATAACTAAGACTACGTTAAAATCGGCAGAACACGAAAATGATAAGAGATGTTCATCATATTATTGCCCGTTACGTTATTCTTCAAATAACTTGGAAAATTGCCTGTCACGTACAGATTACTTTTTTAGAAAAGTACAAACGACTTTGGCGCTATAGTGTACCAAACTCCGGAAATACACTACGACACAAGTGGTAACACTCAAACCGAAGTGCAGACGAAGTCCAAGTTTTCTTCATTTAACCAACTAAAACCGCTGCTGAGATGAACTAAACTTTCGACAATTTGCTCAACAAGTGTATTTCTACTTTCGTAATTGTTTCAAAAGATGAAATGCGATTTATTTTATAAATAAAAAGTGCGGAAAAAGAACTTAAATCAATTTTTTTCTTATTGACAATTTTCGTATTATTTGAGATCATACAATTTTTTCATCATGTAAATCAAATTTCCTTCAATATTTCTTTAGTAATATGATAAAAAAGTAAGTAAAATTTATACTGCCACAAAAATTTACAACTTTTAGAAACATTTAGTGATCAAATCTAAAAGAAATTGCACATAAAACATTATATTGCAAAAGTTTCAGTTATGTTATAAAATATTATTATAAGCGTGATTTCTTTCGATTATCGAGATTATTAGTTGATTATGAAATTCTTTTATAAAGCTGTGCTTCAGTTTTGCTTACAAATCTTTAAATTGTAATAACTTTATTGCAATGTAAGAAAATTCGCATTATATTTATGTACATTGGATGTAGCGTTAGACAAATAATACGTAATACGTAATAAGTTTCATACATAGAAAGTGAACATAAAAGAGAGAATGCGAAAAGTTTAATATCCAGGAAACAAAGCTGAAAATATATTTTTAATTTTTAATTTTTAATTCTTTTCTGTTTTCGAACATTCCACATTTGTTTGAAATGAGATTATAAAAATAGTTTCTCAAATACAAAATGTAAAAAACATAATATTAAACTTTTCAATCACATTTTTATTAATATATTTGTTTATGAACCTGTTTAACTGATATGAATACAAAAAAGCCAAGGATTCTTACTTTTTAAAATATAACATAAAATAGTTTTCTAAAATATATAAGATTTTTATTTATAAT